GAGTGAGGGAGAACACTGAGGTACACGGAAAAAAAAGTTACATATGACATGAATGACAGTTTAACACTAGAAGTTCATGTTTTGAAATTGAGCAGATAGATAGTACTTTCTTAAATTATCTTTAATTTTCATAAATATTTTACTTTTTTAAAACAATACTGCATTAGTTTGCAATAAAGAATGTGCATCTAGGGATAATATTTTTTCTTATTATTTTTGTCAAATAAATATTATATTATGATCCCTAAAATCTATTATTTACACTGAAATATATATGTATGTATGTGCATACAAAACATTTCATTAAACAACAGTGGGAAATAAACTTGAGCCTTAATTACCAGAAGTGGGTTCCTCAAGTAATTGTATTTTAAGCAGAAATAAGAAAGAATCAGTAAATCTAAATGATTTTGATCTTTTTTCTCTGTGTAGCACACATGCAATGAGGCCAAAAGAGGGGAGGCAGCAAGTTGGTGGGTGGGAAAGGTACGACGCATTGGGAAGACCCTCAAGTGTTGGCATGCAAAAAATATAAGAAAAAAAAGCAGAAAAATAACAAAACAAAAAATACATAGCAATAAATATAACCAAAGCACATGGCGTGGCAGACACATGCATTTAAAAGTGGAGGAGCACTGAGGGGGTTAAGGGGGCTAAGGCAACTGGCAACACTAAATCATACGTGTATGTGAGTGTATGTGTTGGCTGACCACGTTTGCTAAAAGCATTAAAGCAGCGCCAGCATTAATTAACGCTTAGCGAAAATCGAATCTGAGCTTAACCCCAAAAAGAAGGGAAGAAAACAAAACCAAGAAAGAAGTGTGGCAACGCTGGGGTCAGTAAGTGTGGGTGCGAGCGAGATATACTACATACAAGCGTAAGAAACCGTTTCTTGAAGCGGCTTTTTTCGGGTGAGCCTTCTTCACATCAAAGGAGTTCCATTAATTGTATTTAAATGTGCCTGCAGAACAATTACAAAAGCCACAAAGTAAAAGAGGTATTCCAATATTTTTTAGGGTGAACCTAATTTTAAAGAACAAATTTAATGACTTTAATCATTTTTTAAGTTTTTTTTATAACTATGTTCCAGAAAAATAAAGTTAACTAAAAATCAATAAGAAAATATTTGTTACATTTCAATAAAATTAAGGTACACCTTAAGATAAAGTTAAAGTTTTTTAAGTACCTATTAAAAAGATATAATTTTTAAGCTTGTTTTTACCGTATTGAAGGTTATTACAAATTTTAAGTACAAACTTAAAGGTTTAAAAACAAAAAATTTTTCCAATGAGCCGTTTTAAGAATCTTAAACTTTCTTAGTCCATGTTATTTAGACGATATAGTTAACGTCAAAGTATTTTTAACCATTTTAGACATTTTTAACAGTTTTAAACTAATATTTATTTAAGCTGGGTGGGTAATTCAAAAGCCCCATTAATATTTTAACTAATTAAGCTGACTTTGTAATTCATTTATGTAGTTAAAAAGTTTTTATAAGAACTCATATTCTTGGCCAGTCCCAACAACAATGAGTAAGTTTGGCAAAACAATTTTTTTCGTTGGGAAACTCTCCACTGCACATCGTCCAAAAGTACGAAAACTTTTGTACTTCCCTCCCATTTCACAGGGATTTTCCCTTAGCGTTGCCAATCTGAAGTCCGTACAAAAATTTTTCAAGGCGAAATGGACGCGCCAAAAAAAAAGGGGGGCACCACACACACTCCCAGAGAAAACAAAAAAATATTCCCAAACACACACACAGAAAATACGCACCAAGACGAAAGCTCCAACACACACAAACGTCAGTTGCGGTTGAAACATACAAAAGTACAAGGGCAAATACAATAACAACAAGAAGCGGCGAAAATAAAAATGGGCGAACAAAAAGAAATACATAAAATAAAGGAGAAGGAGGAAACTCCAAGAACATGTGCAGAAACATCGGCGACAAACGAAAGAGATACAGCTGTAGTTGTAGTTGTAAAAATCCCCACAAAATGAAAATAAAGTAAAAGAAAATAGAGGCGCAAAAAAATTCAGCAACTTGTGGAGGCTAAGAAGGGGGAGTGGGTGGTTGGGTGGACAGATGGCCGGCAAAACTTTGCAGCGAAAATATAAAAATGGAGCGCACGTCTGTGACAAAAACAACAAGAGTGATAGGAGGGCGAGGCGTAGGGGGAAAGAGAGCATGAATGGGAAGTCGCCGCAAGAAGAAGGAACGGCGGAAGAAGGGAGCTTAATGTGTGTGTGTGTGAGTGGGAGTGAGAGAGTGGACCACCGTTTGAGTTTTTGTTGTTGTTGTTTTTTTTTTTTTGTTCTTTCGCGTCCCCCCGGCTTGAGTAATTTTTATTTCTCAACAGCGACGGCGACTTGAGTGTGAAGCAAGTTGAGCGCTCGCTTATTTGCTCAAGCGGACATACGTCTCATTGGCCACCACTGTAATGTGGTTGTTGTCTCCGCTTAAGTGGTTGCTGTTTAAATAAGTTAATGTTAAAATTTAACAGCAACGCCGATTTCAGCTGTATACATTAACATAATACTTTTTGTAGATAATCCGTTTTCTTGAATTAACCTCTAATTACATTTTATATTATAGATCATCAATCTCAAATTACAGATTGTATGAATTTTAAAACATAAGTACGTTATCTTAAAACTAAAAATCAATTTTCTTTTAATAATGCAGTATAATATCCATCTTTTGCGCTTCAAGGAATATATTAAATAAAATATTTATAAATGTAACCACAAAATTTTTAAAGAGATGTTCTTTAGCATAATGTTTAACCGGTAGATAGCTAGCTATAAGCAAAATTAGCAAAATATATTGCAAATTATTCAATAAGATAATTAAAATTTCATAAAATAAAATGTTTATCAAGTTGAAGTTTACATTACCAAATCAATTGCTGGATTATTATGTGGCATTTAAATGAAAATAATAACTTGTAAGGAAATCAAATTGATGTCTGATCCAATTAGTTCCACGAATTGATTAGCCTAATTTAATTTTCCGCCTGCCCTAAGGTAAAACTCTTTGACCTGCCAGCTAATTATGGCTGAAAAATCGATACATTTGCAAAGCCCCAATGCACAGACAATGCAAATCAATATTAATTACAAGTTGCGGCAACAACAAACCTATGGCAATGTCACATCGATAGTAAAAGCAACGACATTTCCCCGATAAATGTTCTAAAGGTGGTATACATAGTTCGTTCTCCATTATATAGAGTCTATATGCCCCAGAGCAATCGTCAGCAGCAAGAATTAATGAAGCACACCAATGACAATTACATTGGGGCGTTGTCGTCAAATGCAAAAAGCAACAAAGTGAGGCACGTTGATGCACCGAAAGAAAGGCTGTCTTATTCAAAAACCATTAATATTCTTAATGCTACTAATTTAAGACAAAATAATTGTCATGGTAATTGGTTCGTTTTTTTTTTCTTTTCAGTTTGGTTTTATGAAAGGTTGAGGTCGCTCAGCGAAACAAAATTACAAACTATAAACGATTTTAGTTTTAACAATATGCAAATAACTTGTTACTATTACTATTGAAAAAAAAACGAAACTGGTATTTTCGGTTACTCAATTTCAGCGAATCGTGATGCAATATTGCAAAGAGACTAATTTTAAAATATTTCCAATAAAGTCGGTTAAAAATAGATTTGTATTTGTTTGGACATGTTATTGAATTTCTATTTATTTAAAAATTAATCTTATTCTCATTGTTTTAGTAAGGTTGTTTTCTATAACCTCAAATAAATGTTTGTTTGGTTTTTAAGAGAGGAATTATGTTAAAAATATATCCCTGTCAATAAAGGAAAAATACAAACAAACAACGGGTCTTAAAAATACTAAACAGATATTATAGAATTAAGTAGAACTTCTATAAATCTAAAAAATAATAATGACTAAAAGTATTTTTAAATTAACTTTAAAAGTTTCTGGATCTGGTTGACTTTCTATTGGATATGTCCATGTACAATCTAAATTACTACATTTGGAATTGCAATTTAAGTAAAAATTGTCACAGTGTAGTAGGCCGGTTTTGGTGGGTGGCATTCAGATAAATACGGGAGAAAAGGGTGAGCTTGGGGAGAGGGGACTTGCAGAGGCGAGCTGGGTCGAGATAACAGCGACCCTGACAGTAATTGTACTCGTACCGCTCCGCCTCTATATTTGTGCGTTCAATTTAAAAAAGAACCACTTTTGCGGTTTGGCTAGTTCGATGTTGTTTTGTTTGTTGACAAACCGATTAATAGGTGGTAATTGTGGGTGCAGTGTATGTATTTCATTTGATTCGACGATCTAGTTTATACAATAAGTTATTGCAATTTTCATACTTATATGATTTTATGTCAGCAACAATTGATTATATTCATAAAACTCATTAGTTTACATTTGATTTATATTTTTGTTTATCAATTATAAGAGCGTTAATTTACACCTTATAACAGGAATCAGCTATTTGTTATAGATGATTTCTGTTCAATAAAGCAATTAATTATAATTATATTGATTTAACACTTATTAAAGCTGATATTTTTATTTGATTTCCGTTTCACTAACCAAACAAATATGAGATAAGAAGAAAAATCCTAAAAATAGTCTTCCACAAAATGATCTAATCCATGAATTGAAAACATTGTATAAATTCAATGAGGTTAATTTTTATACCATTAAAGATGTTACTATTTTATGGAACAAACACATTTTATTATATCAGATGTTCAAAGATGAAAAGTGGAATTATACTTCCATTAAACTTTGTAAACTAATTTAAATTGTTTGCTTCATTTTATTTTAGTTTTTCTTCGATATGCATTTATCATTTAATTAAAGTACATTTACAGTTTTTTTCTGAAATGTCCTGGTTTTATCAGATATTAACTTTATTACAATTTTGATTTAATGTTTTATGCAAATATATACCGTCTATACGAATCGTTCTAATAAAATCTTACTGGCTAAGCGAACACTTAATAGCGACTCACCTGTAATTCCGATTCAGTGACGTCTATTTCACCGCGATAAACGAAATCGATAATGGTTTTCAGGTCAGTGAAGATAATGTCGGCGGGCAGGATGATCGTGGGATGTTTGCAAGGGTTCTCGAGCAATAGTTTTTGGAAATATGTCGAGCAGGCGGACAGGACAACCTAAAAAACGGGCAAAGGAGGTTATTAGATTGATATGTGTATTTGTGGAACTTTAGCGGGATACTCACCTTGTGCGCCTTGAGGGATCCGTGTTCGCAGGACAATGTGACATCCACAAAGGATAGATCCTCGCGCAGCTGCTGGAACACCGATGTCATCGTATTCTGATAGTTATTCCAGCGCAGGCTGAAATACTGATGTCCTCGTACCGCTGCCATTTTCAATGGATTTACTTTTAAGCTTCCTCGATATCCTTAAAATTCCTTTTGCTGGCTTCGGTTTATTGTTGTCGCGCCAATGACGTGACGTGTTCAATTCGCTGTATATATCCTATATCCTGCTGGAAAGACGAAAAATTCTTGAATTAGATGCGGTTTACATAGGGCTGCGAATGGGAAATCAATCAATACAAAATGAGTGAGGCGTGGCTGCATCCTCCGTTTTTAGTTCTTAGTGAATCGCCGTCCCCGATGCAACTGAATCACCACCAACCACATGTTGAAGATGCAATAAAAAGGAGTCGCAGTCAGTCGGTCCATTGTGTTTGAGAGTTTTGCAACGAGTTTCAGGGAATAAGCACAAATGTTGGAGGAGAAGATGAAGGAGTGGAGAAACTATGCCGAAGACAGGTAGGAAAATTTATGAAAGACCCTGGTCCAATAGCTAATGTCCTGTGAGACAAGCTGTGTTATCTAACACCTCCTGGGCGAGCATCTTATCTTTAATTTTTATTAATTTATAATTTAAACATTAAAAAAAAATTTTTAAGTTTTGGGAAACAAACTGTTAGTTTTTGATAAGCTCAAGAAAAGTATCTGATTAAACTGATAATAAATTGTTTTTTTTACACACATTATTTATAAGTTTCAAAATTCAACAAAAAAGTTTCAAATGCAGAAGAAGGTTACAAAAAAAAAAAACAATTAAAGCACATACTTTAATAATTTGGTTTAATATCTGTCTGAATTTCAGTAGAGGGCAATATTGTTATTATTAAATTTTCATAATACTTAAAACTTTCAGTTTCGCTCAAAAAACTTGAAAACATTCTACCATGTACTTTCTTTTTATTAATGACTTACACTGGTAAACTATACAGCTTTATTTGACAACAAATAGTTTCTGATAATGGGTAAATATTGAAAAAAAATACTCAACTTCAGTTTAAATGTTTAAATATATGTTTTATTTTAGATGTTTATATTTAAAGCTTAACCATTGACAGACAAACGAATGGGAACTATTTCTACTTTATCTAGTGATGGTTATATCGGCTGGTTTTTAGCACTGCACACTGAGCCAGCCTGCATGCTCGAATTTTGGCCAAAAGTTCGTTTTTTTTGGGAAAATGAATAAAAAAAAGTATGGGGCCCTTTTTAAAATACTATTAGGTTATTTATGTCTACATTTAATAACAAATAATTTCCGACATTGGTTCAATCCTTTAAGACAAAACGCTCCCTAGCTATATAGGAAAAGTAATGCCAGATTTTTACCAAAAATAATTGCTTTCTGGCCCAGTGTGGTGGAATAGTTTTGTTTTGCACAGTTTCATGTAAAATGCTGGGCCAGGCCAAAAGGAAGAAAACCAAAACAGAAACCAGTTTTCAGTGAATCTTCTTTTTTATGCGCTGGCAAAGGGTATACTAATTTTGGTCAGAAGTTTGTAACGAAGTTAAGTGCTGCTAAGTAATTTTTTCGGTCGTCTTTCCTTATATATTTTCCTTATTCTATATATGTATATATCTTAAGCTTAGAAATCTAAGAAACAATTGGATTATTAATTAAAGCATTTATAAAAGTAGCAGAACTCTGTTTGTAGAAGCACTTATAAATTTTGATCAAAATCAGACGACTATATTTTAGGGGTTTCGTGTATACAATGTCAATAAGGGCAAATGCAAATATAATAAGTTTTAATAAAATCACAAACCTCCATTCTTAACATGTCATAAAAACGATCCGGCTATCAGGAAAAAGGGTATTAAAAATTTAACTAGCCGAAGTTAACATGCTTTTTCATTTTCAATGGCACGTATTGAAGCCTAGACGTTTTTTTTCTAGTTGGGGCATTGTCAAAAAAGGAATAAAAATAGTATAATAGGAATGCTGAAAGGATGCTTGGAGAGGCAACTTGCCGTGCAAATAGAATGGGAGGCAATGGGGTAAGGAGGAGGAGGAGGAAAGGAGGAAAAAACTTTTGCTTGCAACGTCCAGCGCGGAGGTTGAAATGCAACCACAACTTTATTCCAAACAGAACAATCAAGAAAAAATGAATTTTTCAAAACTACAGTGGAACCTGCTTGAGAAAACATCTTTTGCAACTGGAATTTAATATAATTAATAAAAAAAAATAAATAATACATATCAAATGTTCTTTAATTACATTTTATTTCCAAACTTTCTATAGTTTACTTTTGTGTATTGCCCTCAGACTTTAATTTATAGTTCATATACTTTGAAAAGATTTACTGTGTTTTCATATTGTTATTGAAGAAGATTCGCAGTCAAAACAAACCAGCGGCAAGAAAACAAGGTGTAAAGAGGAGAAAGAATAGGTGTCGCCACCCACTCAAGAGACCTGAGTCTCTCTCGTTCTCTTTGTTTCTCCCATAGAGAGGCTTATCATTAATCGCGCATTATGCGGCCTGCTTGTTCCAGTTGTTACTATTCTTCTTCGTTTTGACTAGACCACGTTTTATTTTTCTGCTATTGTTCGCGTAATTGTTGCTCGCTCACTCTCTTGCACACACATGCTGCAGATTTGCCGCTTTTTGGAGTCCTTCATCTTCTTCATTCCCCTCTTCATCTGCATTTTAGCATGTTTATTTGGCAAATGGATAATGTGTGTTCGTAGTGTTTGTGCTTTCTTTTTAGCTTTTCTTTGCTTTTACATATTTTCTTGCACTCCATAATTTTGTACCCTACGGAAGGCTTTGCGATCCGACAACAAAAAAAAAATTGTACGGTAATTACAAAAAAATGTTGAAACTAATTTTATAGATCGGTAGATAAAACTGAATTCAAAAGTAAATAAGGCAAAAAGAATATGTACATTTTTAAGTTTTTAAATCTTTCGGTTTAACAAAAAAAAATAAATGTAATAAAATTGTTTTCATTTTGAACAAATTGCTCTGTATTTATTAGTAAGTGCTTTCGTGACAAAAAGAATTCTAAACAAACATTAAATAAATTCAAAATCAATTAATAAACCCACAATAATAATAAGAATATGTTTACAATTATTTACAATAAGACCAATTTAAATGATTTTTAGCTTTAAACCTTTTTTTAACTTTTATTCCTTGAAGTGATCTGAAGCCCTGTTTGTCCCACTGTCTGTTCTGTTAGTGGCCACAACCCCACTGCGCCTCGTTTGTCTAATACTAGACTGATTTTGTCCCACAGTCGTGTTCCAGGCAAGGTAACTTCGTTTTCGTCGCGTCTCTTCTTTGCTTTTAGATGGTGCGCAAGCGAGCGAGTGAGATGGCTGCTTTGCGGGGGCGAGAGAAGAAGAGGGGGAACAACGAAGAGGGGGAAGCAAGGGCGCAAGACAAGTGACAGCGCTCTGCGAAATGAAAGAGTGGGTGAAGGAGAGGGCAAAAGAAAATGGATTTTAAACATTTTTGTTTTGATTATTATTGTTCTTGTTCGTCGCAAAACTCTTTGCAAAGCAAATTGGGCGAGGAGAGAGCGGGAAAGGAAGTGAAAGAGTCGAGCGGAGAGAGGGAAGAGAGCGCTGTAATGTAAATGTAATGCAGAACAATTGCATTTGCCAATTGAAACCAATTGAAAGGTTTGCAGTATTTTTATTTTTCCCCTCAAACTACAAATATGTTCGTCTCTTATTTTTAGTTTAGTTTTGTGGGGCTGCGCCTTTACCTTTTCGCTATTTATATTTGATTTTCGCTGCTGCTGCAATTTGCCGCCTGCCTTTTTGCATAATAATAATAGAGGAAATACGTCAAAGAGTTCCCGTTACTTTGCGTTTTGTTGTTGTTTTTTCGTACTGCATACGAATTTACCGCCAGTTTTGTGTTGTTTTTGTTGTTGCTTCTCTTGTTTTTTTTTTCTCTTTTGCGTTTAGTACACCTTTTTTATTAATTTGTTCGCTTTTATTTTTATTTTTCGCTGCGCCTTCTGCTTCTACGCTCGCTCACGCACACACGCGCGCAGGCAGCACCACACGTACACACACACACGCATTGCGATTGGTTTTTCATAATTCGCAAAGCAAAAAACTTTAAATTTATTCTATTTGATTTTCTTGGCTGGCACGCTGTCGCTGCTTAATTTTTATTGGACTAACCATTTCGATTGGCGCCGCACTTTGACCGCTTCATAATGCGCTGCTATAAATTTCCAACCGCGCTTTTCCGCACTCTTTTTACGCGCACGCACACCGAATTTCGCTGGCAAAACGGAATTTAAAATAATAATTATTTTTTCAGCTCGTCGTTCATCGGAGTGCTCGTGTTCGCCATTTTCGTGTAGCGCTGCCAGATAGTTGTAGGTCGCTAAAAGGTAGTAAAAGGTGTTATAAGTTTGTAAATTTCGTTTGTTTTAATTTAAATCACTGCCTTAGTTTCTTAAAAACTTTTGTATCTTATCAATGTATTTTATTTGGTGCTAAATCGTTGTAAGTCTCTTAATTTACCTTAAAGTATTAACTAGGTGGCATCACCTTATCGGTTGTTCTTTGCCCCGCCACATGTACTATCTAATTGTCTCGCTCGCACTCGTTACATTTGGCCTATTGATTTTTTTCTCTATGGACTTTGCATTGGGCGCGTAAAATTCAGCAATTTAAATATAAGAGCAATCAAAAAAATTTTACAATTTTTATAAGTTGCTATTTGCTCAATTGATCTTGTGGCTATGTGGCTTAAAAAAGAATGTGATTTTTTTTTAATTCAATCAAAAACTATAAGTTATAACGAAAAGGCGGTGGACATCAAAATGTACTTTATTTTAATGTTTTGTTGTATCTTAGAAAATATTACAGTTTATTGGTTTTTAAATAATAAAATAAATGGCATTTCAAAAAAAAAAAAAATACTCTCCAGAGTTGCCACCTTGATACTGAACTTGCCAAACAAAAGCTGCCTGCAATGAAACTATCGATAGGCTCACATGCGGCTGTCGATAATGGGGCGCGAAAACTTTGGCAATTCAAATGCATTAGCCAGCTAAACCTCGATCATAACATTTAATTTAGGAACCCGTTTAATGCTCGTGTGCTTGCAAGTCATGAATCCGCAAATGCCAAAAAGTTTATGTATTTATAATGAGCAAATAAATATTCGCCACCAATATCGGCGGGATTTGCATAATGAAGGCGAAACCATTCAAATGAGTTGCACTTTTTCCGCTGCCTTAATTTGTATAAATATGTGCGAGTGGGTGGGAGTCGCCTAGCCCCTTAAAAAAATCCAAACAAAAAACGAAGCTGGCATACAAAACGACTGATTTGCAGCGTAAAATATATGTACATAAATACAATATATAGACATTTGCATTCGGATGCGTGGAGCCCCGGGTAAAAGCTAATAGCTAATGGAGAACTTACGTGCCAATTGACATTCATGAGTCCCAAGGCCGAATACATTAAAATAATTGCATGTTCTAGCTCCAAAGCAGTAGATACATAGTAAATTTAAAAAAAAAAAAACATAATTGTAGCATGATCGAAATTAATTGGCCCGGTTTTCCAACTTTCCAGCGCGGAAAAATCGATCAAACGGGAAGGTTAAAAAGGGGCTGGAAGTGGGGACCCGGGCGAGGTCGTTCCAGCAATTGACGTGAGCACCTATTTACCCACCAAAACCACATACAAGCACAACCCTACCTATGCTATCCACAAGTACATATACATACATATATGTATGTACATATATATACCATATAATTATAGGCGCACATAGTACTTCCCCCAAATCCCGCCCCCTTGAAAACCTACAAACGCACCCTACTCCATTCAAATAACCCCACACGTCAACCACATATATCGGTACATGCACAAGTATTTATTTAGGTACATGCAATGCGGATGAGTGGAACTTTATCGTGTCACGAGGTTTAATACGTTTGAATAAACACTGTGACACTGAAGCATCTCGCATTTATATGTGCTAAACGAATTGATCAGTAACAAAGAAATTAAACGTTGATATTAAGATGCTTTAAGAACGGATTCAAAAAAAGTAAAAGTTTTTAAAAGTATATTAAATAGTGTTTTCCCAACTTTTAATTACAGTTTTTTTAATCAAATTAAAAAGCTTATGATTATTATGATTATTTATTAAATTTAATTAAAAATGTTGTTTTGGATTATGCTTTTAACGCTTTAATCTTTTTTGGATTTTTTTTCAATTTTATGACATGCAGTTAATTTTGAATCACAAATTTTAAGTTCTAGGCTTGCTCTATAGTCTTAAATTTTCCAAAAAATTACTCATTCGACACGTAGTCCAGTTCGATCTTTGTACAAACAAATCTTTTAAATAATTCAAACTTAGTTAACTAATTGATCTCGCTTAAATTGAAGTTCAAATATGGGAAGCGCAATAAGCTGTTTGAAATTTGAAAATACACTAATGTAAAAAAAATAGTTTTCATAAAAACGTAAGAAAATGTATTTTATATTATACACATAACATGCAGCAGTGTATCTTTACTTATAAATAAAGATAACCTTAAAATACCAGAAATGTATCCTATTAAAGCGGGAACCCCCTAACAAAACTAGCCTAAGTTAATCAGTATTGATTTAACATCCCCCCAATTCCATTCGATTTCTTGTGCCATCTCTAAAACATACACACGCACACGATTCCACAATTAGAGGCAGACAAACAAACAAAACAAAAGATCCCCCACACCAACAAGCACAACAACAATTTTGGGATCGAAATAAAACTGAAAGCAGCGCGCTGCTCCAAAAAAACATAAAGCACGTAGATGGAAAATGGAAAGAAGGGGGAGCGCGAAAGAGAAGTAAAGAGAAGGGAACAAGAGAGCGGAAAAAGGGGAAAACGAGAGTGAGCGCATTAGAATAGCTCTGCTGCAACAATTAATGCATATTAAGGTCAGTTTTTTTGCCCTTCTGTTCTGCTTTTCGAAAAACACCAAGTGTGGCCCATAGATGGAGCCAGCAGTCTCAAGTCAAACGTGGAAAATATTTATAATTTACAGTTACATTGGCTAAGAAAACTTAAGTCTTAGAAATAAAAATATGTTACAATATATTTATGGAAATAAATAAATATATATATATTTTTGTTTAAATTTAAGGATATTATAAATCTGAATTAAAACTTATTCTTTTTTTTTTGTTGTTTTGCAACAAATGTAATAACAACATAAAAAATTTTGTATGTTGAAAAAAAGTTTTTAAATATATTATTTGTAAAAAAAAAAAACATTTTCAAAAAAAGACTTTCGACTAATAAAAGTTCAATTATTTATTCTGACAAGTAAAGCTTAAGCTAAAAAGAGATTTATTCTTACGGTTTCCCTTGATTTGTTTTAGGAAAATTCGAGTTGTGAAAGATCGATGAAGCGCGAACATAAATAGCGCTGATTTCATAGTTGATGATCCACAAACTCGGTTCACAAAAAAAAATGCCAATGAGCATTAGCTGCGGCCCACTCGAAATGCCGAAAAACTTCTGTTTTTGGCATGGAAAGGCAACAACAACAAAAACAACAGCAACCAGTTAACAAAAGCTACAATTTACAGAGCGATTGACGTCATTGGAAGGTTTATTATTTTTTTTTTTTCTATGGAAAAGTTTATGTAAGTCTGTGGGCAGAAAATGTGTGTATTAGTGCGCGTGCTGGGCGACAAGTGCAATGCATTTCTTGAATGGTGCGCATGCACTGACCCCCCACCCACTTTTCAAATCCCCCTGCCCACACCCCTTGAAAAAACTAAGAGAATGAGAGGGAGTCGAAAAGCTTTTATATGTGTGTGCAAAGCAATTTCATGTCATAAGTGCATAAAAATTGCAAGGCCCTGAAAAGCGGTTCGCTTCACATGACAAACATTAGAATTATCAGTCGAGCTCTCTTTGCCTCTCTTTCGCTCTCCATATCGCCCCCTCTCTTTCACTCTCCGTATCACTCTCTCTTTCTCGGCCTCTCCACCGCTCATTATCTAATGTTCACTTTGGAGGTTTTTGCAAAAAAAAAAAAAAAAAAAAGAGTACAAACTATAACCTGCCCTAGAACTTTTTTTACATACTAACTTATGCACACACGCGTAGATAAAAATTCGTATGTAACCACAGTTGGGGCCAAGAATATAGCACATGAAAATGTAACACTAACACTTACATATTTATAACTGTGTTTTCATTTCTGTTTTTTATCCACAATTGAATGTTGTTATATTTAGACTAGTTTTTAAGAAATAATAATTTTGCTAAAAACAAACAAAATTATTATAAAAAAAATATGTTTAATTATATTTGAAGTTATTTTTAAAGTTGATCAAATTTTAGTTTTAACGTAACATAACTGCTATTTCAGTTAACACATGTGGTTTTCCTCAAAACACAGTAAAAGCTAGTTAATTACCCAGTCAGTTCTTAAAATATTTATTAACGAAAACGCTTATTGAATTTTATGACTTAAAATAGCTGTACTTAAATTTTTTACACTAAAGCATAATACTAATGGTTTTGGATACAAATCAGTTGAACAATTTTAAATCCTTGATGTTTACAAATCACATAGTAACAAATCCAATAAACTTAAATGTATTTAAAAGGAAAACAGATGATTTGTTAAAATGAAAAACACAAACGATAAAAAAAGTACCAAATGATTATTCAGCAACCGAAAGGTACTAATCAAATAATACTTTATTGAGACTTCAGGTTATTTTAAGGGCTGTCTCCGGTCCTATAATAGTCACCAGAGTTGTTGGTATGTACTGGCGTTAGCTATCTCATTTTGGTTGCAGTTTTTGTTGACGTGTTTTTTTGCAACGAAGCCCTTCAATGGATGCCCACACAACCACACACCTGGAAACTAACTCAAAGGTAGATAGCTAGCCTCTAGAATTATCCACGTGCATATGTGCATACGTATGTATGTATGTATGTACATATGTATGTCTAAGTAGCTAGCTATAGCGACAGGTGTTGGATTTTTCTTCAAACTGCACTGCGTTGACATTTAGCTTAACTAAAGTATCTGCCTATGTATATCTATGATCCCCGATCGATCAATTAATAAGTAATTGATACACATAAAACTTAATGCTGATCTTTTGGAAATTATCACCAATTGGATTTATGTATAATGCTTAACAAATAAAAAAATATTCTGTTGGGGCACTCCCTCAAAATTGCCATATCATTTTATTATTTATTCAATGCAGTGTTTATTTGAATAGGAGCTTTTTTATGCGTTGATATCGTGTTTATTTTTGCCTGTTTTATTAACTGGTTAGAACGCGTAAATTAAAAATGCTTAAATT